TTTTGTAGAAGGGGGGGAAGGAGGAAGGAGAAGGAGGAAGAAGGGAGGGGGGAGGAAGAAGAGAAAGGAAGGTAAAGCAAGTTTAATATAACGCCATGGACGACAAATATACATAAGTTCAAAGTAAATATACATACAAAATCCAACAAAAGAGAAATACATAGAGAGGAGAAGAGATAAACCACAAATCTTCCGGTTTGTCAGAGCCGGTCGACGAGAAATCCACCTCGGATCATCTGTATGCAAGCCCTAGTGTTGTTATCTAAGCTAATACACTACAAAAATGAGGTTGATGGAGTTGGGAGACAAAAATTCACCCCCAAAACCATAATTCTCCAAAATGACAAGAAATGAAAATATAAACAAAATTGTGATCCGCAACCGTCGTCCGGCGACCACAATTCATCGCCCGGCGACGACTTCTATACACTTGGCCCAGAATAAGCCATGTCCTCAACTGAAACAAATATCTACCGTCGCCCGGCGACCACAACTCATCGCTCGGCGACGCTCCTTATTTTCGCTTGGCAACTCAGACGCGACGCAAGGCAGAGACTTCATTAAAATTGGTCTTCAAAATTTTGCCCGGCGACGCATGACAGGAAAGCAACTTTTGTTGCTTTCTCTGCATAACTTCCAATGGCCTCCAATCTTGGCTTTATTCCTTTATTGATCCAAAAATGCATCTTGGAGATTTATTCCTCTTACTCCAACAATGCTCAAATACCTACAAAATGAGTATAAAACTATCAAACGATACACTTTATACACGAAAACGTATTATACACAAACTAAACATATTTATACATGAAGTTGGATTATTCAACGATATTAATAACAAAGAGTCGATAAATGCAACAAATATATATACAAAAATAGCTACAATTTACACTTATCATTGATACACTATAAAGACATGATGAAGCTTCTAGTTGTGGTAACTTCAGTCTACTGTGGGAACTGTCACCTAAACAATTGCACAGAGAAGACTCATCAATTAAATGAAGCTGTAGCAAAAATCATTCAAAATTAAACTTGGTTCCCAATACTATGTCCTCTTCTTTGTTCCCAATCAATTTTCTAATTTGGAGTTTTACTGCCTTCTTTCCGTTACATTTTAGCTTAGAATGTGGAAGCTGGTGTTGAGGTAATGATGTTGAATTGATGGCTCATGCCTGTGTTTCTAGCTTGTTCTTGTTCTTATACGTGTTCTTATCTCCTTAAATTGAAACCACCCCTTATACTTGTCACCTGATTTAAGTATGACTCCATGCGACCATGTGTAAATACTAATAGTAGGACAATGATCCATTCCAAAGTATTTATTTTTTTTAGGTAACTAACTTTTGTTTTATTTGACATCTTTACACTTGTGGACAATGATATAGTATGTGAGCAAAAAACAAAATACTGTTAAAATGTTGTATTGATGACAAATCAAGTTTACAATGACTCTTCTTTTTCTGTCAATGTTTATGCTACACTTTAGGTACTTGAAACATGAATTATCTTGCCTGTTAAAGACTGTTGTTTGACTTTTTTTTCTACTGTTCATTAGCTGGAAACTCAAATGAACTTGATAAAGAAGGAAACTCAGGACTACACAAGTAGATGTGCCGCTGAAGCTAAGAACATGACGGAGGATATCCAGCTAGCAGATCATGATATGGGTATTATGGAAAGAGAGTCAGCTGAGATTTTAAAGGTAAAATTTGGATTCTTATTTTTTTTCTTTAATATTAAACTCGATTGGATTTGAACAACATTGTGGGAAACGAGTATTATAGTTGTTGAATATTTGAACATTTGTCCGGTTATCTTGTGTTTCAACTTACGTTTGCAGTGCTAAAATATGAGTGCTTGCTTACAAGCATTTTTAGTCTGCTTGTTATGTTTTTACTACTTTATGTTAACGGTTTTGCTCAAGTGCTTATGAGGAAGAGAGTCAGTATTGTTTTTAATCTTGCTTTCTGCATTAGTTCACTCATTTTCAACGCAAGCTTGGTCTTACATGGTAAATGTTATTCAAACTGGGAAGCTTGTAAAACACTAACAACTTGGTATTTTTTCAAGGGTATATATTTATGATATGTAACATGTATTTATGATATGTAACATGTATCTTGCCGCTTTATATTTGTTCAAGGGTCATCAAGCTTGACAAAATATCACCAAGCTTGACAAAATATCACCAAGCTTGGTAAAGCGATATTTCGTTGTTCAATCTGACATTGATGTATGTGACAACGTTGCATCTAATGATGAACTTTTGTTGTTGTTGTTAAGGCATCTGAATTGAAATTGGAGGAAACGAACAGACAATGTGAAGAAGAGGTTCAAATGCATGGTCTAGAACTCTATAAGGTGATTGACTCAGTCACCAAATACAAAGAACAGTTGGGATCTAAAGTCTCAAAGATTAAAAGGGAACTCTTGGAAACTGTAACCGAAGTCGCAAATATATATAGAGAGGCATTCCCAGAAAAATATAGTTACATATTGGAGGCATGTAGCCAGATTGAGAAAATTGAATGAGCGTAGCTCTATGCTTACACAATCTTCTCAGCATTATTTTTCTTATGCATACTTGGTCTATGATTTTGTAAACAAGTCAATCTAACTATTTTCTAGTTGGGGGTTGTAAAATGACTGTCCAATCCATGTACATTCAGCTCCATATTTTGCCCTTATTATTAGTTATTTTTTACTAACACATTTTTAATTATCTTACATCTTTTTCTACACTTTAATAAATAGTTTTTCTTATAAATCTTACCTAATTCTCTCAAACGTAAAGAAATGAAATTATACAAGTTGTCAACAAAATTAATATTACAAACCACTATTTAATTTTTGAATATTTCAATTTATTGAACCTCTTTTTTAAATCTGCTATGTACATATTTTATGTTTCAAAGGACTTTTTGTTTTTATATTTTAATAGTTATTTAGCTTTTTCAAGAAGAAAAAACAGCCATTTAAAGATTAAGCCGTTTTGTACCTTTACAATTCTGAAGGTACTTAAATTTCAATTTCACATTTGGTATATGACAGGGGCGGACAGACAGTCGAATAGGATTGGATTTGGGTCTAAAAGCTCAATCTGTCTCAAACCTCGGGTGCAATACCAAGGTCCAATTTTGACCATCTAAAAGTCAGTTAGATCGGGTCGCAGTTTATCAATTTATTGGTTAATACGGTTCGGTTAAGACCGAATTACATGGATGTCAAATAATTGCACTCTTCGACAAAAATTCAAAAAATTCATATAGCAAAAATGATATAACAGAAAAATTCATAAATCATAATAAGCATTTTGATCATTATATCAAAATTAGACATTCAGTTTTGAATATAAAGTCTACAACTCAGGTAATTTGGTAGTTTTCGTTGAAGCTTAAATACTAATTGTTCTTGAAGCTTAAAATATTGTGTTAATACTAAAATTACAGTCATCCTTCATATAAAAATTAACATGAAAAGTCAACATATCACAACCAACGCTACTTATAATTTATATCCATCCTCATACTTCCAGCACTTAAACGCCCTCTGTAAGGCGCAGTCTCACTTAATCTGCAAAAGAAGAGTTTTTTTTCAGAAATAATATACTACATAAGCTTTGGCTTCCAAACAAATTATGCAAGACCTTTAAGGTAATTGTTTGCATACTAGACTCAGATAACGTAAGGACATTTCAAGTAATTGTTTGCATACCTTTCAAGTAATCTGCAAGAGAAGCACGATTGAGTAGTATTTCGTTTTGCAAATTGGCATTATAAAAACCCAGTGCTGTGCACAGACAAGTTTCATAAGTGAGACACCATTCAAATTACTATAATATGACAGACCTGAGTTGATAAATTGTATAATAAAGGCCTCATGAGACAAATGTTATGCACCTGAGTTTGTAGTCTGCAAAAGAGACATACAACATATAAGGTGAGATGTTAATTTCACAAATATATAATAAGGCATAACAGAATACAGAAGTGAGACTTATTGCAGAAGTGAGACAGCAGGAGTCAAACAAGCATCACTGCAGAAGTGAACATGTATTTGAAATGAAATAAGTTATTAATCCTATTAAAGAAGGGAATTTGATTTGTGCTTGTCTATTTATGTTTATATGTGTTTAATATAACTTACTTTAAATATTAAACTGCTCATTGCTATTACATATGAATGAATATAACTCTGCAGCTTAATGAACCGATGTTTTTCAATTTGATTTTTTTGATGAACTTTGTAGAACTATTTTTGAAATGCATAATTAAATATGTATTTATGTAATCTAAAGAGAGGATTTTTATAATACAGTCATTATTTTTTTAAAAGCAGAGAAGATTTAATCAACAAAAGATCATAAAAGAAACTAATATGTTCATAGTCATTTTGAAATCACGGTGGAAATCTCAGTGTTGTGCACAAACAGAACATAACACATTTAAAATAAATGGAATAAGGAATAAAGTTACTAAAAATTAACTTGTATCATTGCCAAATGGATTCAGTTCTGTGCAGGAGTTGATGTGCGAGACTGATATAGGTTGACTGTGTAGTCCAAACTTCAAAAAGTCGAGTCATTCATGACTCCAAAAAAGTGACTGCAAATAACAATATAAAAAAACCATATCAACCACCAATCATGTTATATGTTCTGCAATATACTGAAGCCAACTCTTTTTTTTAATGAAAACAAACATTTCAAAAAGACACAAAAACTTATAAACCACCAAACACACAAAGACAACATGGCCAGCAAACACACAAAAACTTATAAACTTAACTTTGTTAGAATTAATTTATATTTTATGAATATCTTTTTAAATATTAATTTATATTTTAAAAATATATTTTTAGATCTTTTTATATATTTGTTAGAGGATATTTAGAATTTTATTATACCTTAATTTTGTGTATAAATAGCCTAATGAGATAGGTCAATGTAATTTATTGTAAATCATTATTCCTTATTTTTGTTGTCGTCATTAAATATATTTATTTTGCCTTTCATCTCTTCTTTGTGCATAACAATTTGTATCTAGAGCTCCGGTTAGAAATCCACCGGAAAACACGAGAGAACAATGAGGTGCTATGTGATTGATAATCGTTGTTTCTGATTCTGGGGAATTGGAAAATACTGCTTTATTGAGTTTCTGCGTAAATTGCACAAGGTAGAAGATGAACGGAAACAACGGCGATATCCATTCCAAGCTTCCAGTATTTGATGGCAAAAACTGGAATCGTTGGAAGATCCAGATGCGCGTGTTGTTCAGCTCTCAAGATGTGTTAGATCTTGTCACCGGTGACTATGATCTTTTAGAAGCAGACGCAACAGAAGCACATAAGATAACACATAGGACGCTAAGGAAGAAAGATCAGAAGGTGTTGTTCTACATCCATCAATGTGTGGATGCAAACATGTTTGAGAAGATTCCTGATTCTGAAACAGCAAAGGCTGCATGGAACACACTGGTCATATGTTACAGTGATGACGCATCAGTGAAGAAGGTGAAGCTTCAGTCTCTCAGAAAGCAATATGAGAATCTCAACATGAAGGACAACGAGAAGGTTTCTGAGTACATCTCTAGAGTGATTCTGATCACTAATAAGATGAAATCTTGTGGAGAAACTTTTTCTGAACAAGTAATCATTGAGAAGATCTTGAGATCTTTAACTTCCCAGTTTGATTATATTGTGGTGGCAATTGAATATTCCAAAGATCTGAGCACCAAGAGAGTTGAAGAACTGCAAAGTAGTCTATAGGCGCATGAGTTGCGTATGACTGCGAGAACTTCTGAGAGGGATGTAGAGCAGTAGGCTCTGAAAGTAACTTCTGGTAAGAAGTATCAGAAGCAAACTTGATCAGAAGTCAGGAAGAAAATTAATGGTGGTCAAAGGTCAGAAGCTTCAAACTCTGATAGGAAGAAGAATGTTCAGAAGGGAAAGGAGAAGTCTGATAAGAAGAATGTCCAGTGTTACTGTTGCAAGAACTTTGGTCACTATATCAAAGATTGTTGGTCGAACAAAGAAAGGAAGTCATAAGAAGAAAATATAGCCAAAGGAGAGTTTGATGATGAACCTGTGCTATTGTTGGCTTCTGAATCTGATGATCCGAATTCATCAGAATGGTGGTATATGGACACAGGGTGTTCAAACCATCTTACTAGAAACAAGAAATGGTTGGTTGATTTCGACTCTGGGAAGAGTACAAAGATCAGATGTGCTGATGATAAATATCTCAATGCAGAAGGTATGGTAAATGTCAGAATCATTCTAAACAATAGATAATCAACAATGATCTAGAATGTATGGTATGTACCTGACATGAAAAGCAATCTGATGAGTGTGAGATAACTGGTTGAGAAAGGTTTTTTATTACCATAAAAGACAATCTTTTGAAGTTGTATGACTGTAATCAGAAGGTGATTATAGAGTCAGAACATGGAAGGAACAAAACATTCAAGGTGAATGTTAGAACTGCAGACTCTGAATGCCTTAGTGTAACAAGTGTTGTCAAGGAGAGTGAGCCGTGACACAAAAGATTTGGTCATCTGAATTTCAGAAGCTTAGGGTATCTGAAATCAAAGAAGATGGTACATGGAATTCTTACAATCAAGAAGCATAAGAAGTCATGCAAGGTGTGCATGGAAGGGAAGCAACCAAGATTACCATTTGCATCAGAAGTAGCTCCAAGAGCAAAGCATGTCTGGGGAGTAGTGCATTCTGATGTGTGCGGTCTATTTCCAGTAGCATCGATTGGAGGGAATAAATAATTTGTGTCATTTGTTAATGAGTTCACCATAATGACATGGGTATCCCTCATAAAGTTTAAACACGGGGTATTTGCTGAATTCAAGAAGTTCAGACTGAAGGTTGAGAATCAGAGTGGCTAGACTCTAAAGATTCTTAGAACTGATGGTGGTGGTAAGTATAACTTCATGGAATTCAGAAGTTTATGTGAGGAGAATGGAATTGAGCATGAGGTTATTGCTCCCTATAATCCTCAACACAATGGTCTCGGTGAAAGAAGAAACCATACTTTTCTTGATAGGGTGAGAAGCATGCTGAAAGAGAAGAAGCTTCCTCATACTATATGGGAAGAAGCTGTTGCCCCTGCATGTTATGTCCTCAACAGATGTCCAACAAAGAAATTAAAGGAAATAGTTCCTATTCAGAAGTGGACCGGAGATAAGCAAAGTGTTAGTCATCTGAAGGTATTTGATTCTGTATGTTACAAACATGTCCCAGAAGCCAGAAAACAAAAGCTGGATGATAGAAGTAAAGTAATGTTACTAGTGGGGTACCACAGTACAAGTTCGTACAAACTTTATTGTCCAGAAACTAACAAAGTTGAGTTCAGCAGAGACGTCATTGTAAAAGAATCAGAAGTTTGGAATTGGGAAAGGTCTCGTCCTGACTCTGATGAGAGAACTCCTGAAGAAAAGTCAGAAACACATGTTTCTGAAACCGGTAAAGACTGACTTTGAAGAAGATACAGAAGGAGAAGATGATTCTAACTCTGACTCTGA